GAAGAAGGAAGTCCTACAGATGCTGCCAGGGTTTGATTAGGTAGGACTAGTTTGTGTTAGAGTCCCTATCTGCCATGAAAGATCTTGAGCAACAGTGTCTGAGAACAGCAAGTACAGCACAAGCTACAAATCCACCCTCCATGAGGCTGGTGGGGCAGGTTGTCACTGATGGGATTGGGAGGCCATTCTTGGCATGAAAGGATTTTAGCCTTTGTTCTGGAATAGTCCATGGCCTTTCCTCCCATAGTGCCACCGACTGCCAACTCAGCCAGCAGCTCCCTTTTCTGAGGTGAACATCTGCCCCCTTAAACATCCTGGGACCCTCTACACTTATTTCACCAAAGCCAACAGCCAGCTGTGAGAAGAACTGTGGGGTTTTTTTCTTTAAAGACAGCTTTATCCCATTAGCCCAATTTCCCATTCCTGTATTCTATCTACCTCAAGATACGGTCTTCCCTGCACGGGGTAAAAGCTGAACTTCTTGCCTCTTGCAAACCTCAGGGATGTGTAGCAACCTTCCCCGCGGTACCAGCAGCCCTGGCTGCCCCAGCCGCTAAGGAAGAGGAGGTGGAACATGGCTCTGTGCCTCTGGTGACCATTTTACAAGACCCATCTGCAAACAGAACTCCTGCTAGCGCTGGGCAGTCAAAATGCCATCATAGCACACGATGGTGCTGGAGGATTAAGTACAGAAGCGTAAGAAAACATGAAAGACATAAGCAGTAGTCATTCTGAAATGCTCCTATTAGAGGAGAATTGAATCTGTGCCGTTAGAACTAAACATTAACTTTTATAATAAATACTAACCAAGAATATAGTCACCACTATCAAAGGAAAACCACCTGGACAAAAGCCTTTGCCTTTATTTACTCCTCACTGAAAGTTTAATACAGCTGTGAAAATCTCTTCAAGTTAAAACGGTACAGATCTTACAAAAGGATCTCAAAATTTGGTATATGGTCAAACATTACTTTTCACCAAGACAAAACTGCCATTGATAAATTATTAAAAAGCCAAGTAATTTTTCACAGTTGATACTGTTTGTTTACTTTCTAAAATTTTCTTGGACCAAACTAACCAGAACAGTGAAGTCCATTTCACTGTGATTTGCCATCATTTTCCCTCTGCACTACAGTGTGAATGTCAGACCCTTCAGAGGGAACAAGTTATTCTTTAACAGTAACTATTTCCAGTGCATTGTTTCAGTTTAATTAAAAAAAAAAAAAAAAAAAAAAAAAAACAAAAAAAAAAACTTTAAGACGTTTATAAAGGATTTGGATTTTCTAAAAGTTTTGTTAAAAAAAATATAAGTAACTTGAAGTTAAATTTCACTCTTTAAATTCCCATTAACATTTACGAATCTCTTTCAGCAGAAGCTCTTTACCATACAGATCGCAGTTTAAAGAAGTCCTACAAAAACAGACTGGAGTGAAACCAACTGAAATCTATAAGGCCACAGCATGCCATCAATTTCTAAACAGAACTTCTATTCAAATTATTCTGCTTGAGACCTCATATGGTCTGCAAAAATGAGCAAGGTTTTCTTGAAATGATTTAAGTAACAATTTATCTAAGACTGTAATCTCTCTTGTACGGGATTTGCAAGCCATCCCACAGAATTTTCTAGCAGGGGACACTATTCGCTATTTACATCAAAGTTTTATATAAATAATATTACAATTTTTTTTAATATTCTGCAGCTGTTTTCCCTTATGAATAAGCTGGGCCTATGCAGAAAATGTGAAAATAGGAAAACTGTGAGTAATATTTATAATAATGATATATTCATCTCAGGAAATTGCTACAACTGTCTTTATCAAAATAAACAAGATGGATATTTTTTCCTCCTTTAAGAGAAAAACAACATCCTCCACTATTAAAAATAATTTGACTTGGTATTTGTTTGGTATTTGGATTTAACTGTCTTATATCCCATTTTTGGTCCTGCTTAAAAAAAAAAACAAAAAACAAACCAAAACAAAACAAAAAAACCAAACAACAAAACGCCAGGACAAAAACATACACACAAAAACCCCAACAGCACTGCTTCTCGTCTCCCAGGAGTGAGAGCGGCACATACACACGCCATTCAGCCCAAAATTGCTCTAGCTACAGGGCATGGCAAGGCATGAAATAACTGCTCCAGAGCACTTCCTCATGTGGGTGTGTTAGATAACTGTCTGCTCCAACACTAAAATAAAGCACAGTGTGACCCAAGGAGCAGCGCCAGCCCTGCCCCGCACAGCTGCCCGGGCTGCGGGCAGGGGACCCCGAGCACCCCACGCCACCAAACCTGGCTGCACCTCCCTGGCCAAGGGCTTTGGCATTCCCCGAGCTCTAGCTACAGCACCATATGCTGGATTTAAGTTTACTCAGGCATACTTTACCCTTTGCTGCTGTATCCAGATTGCAAACGGACTTTGTGCTATTGAAAGGGCTAAGATTTGTTTTGTTTGGGGTTTTTTTTTTTTTTTTTTTTTTTTTGATAGAATATAGTTGGGGCTCAAGGAAAATTACATCCTCCTAGTGAAAAAGGAGAAAGAAGTCTTACCAGATAATGAAAAAATGTTTCTGCTACTGTGACTCTTTCTCTGCTTGAATTCTTCTTGCCTGGAGTTTTCATAAAATCAAGCAGTATCTTGTAGTAATTTTTAAAGCTTTTCAAAATGTTCAGATGAGCCTGGGCTTCTGCTAAAAGTACATGCACAAGGACCTGAGGACAGGTCCATCTGCTCCCCTACAAAAAACCTGGACTGTTGAGGAACAACACCTGTGCTGGCGCAGGAGAAAATGACAGGTGCCTGAAAACCCGTCACCCATCCCACCACGAGCAGGACGGCTGCGAACACTCCTGCTGCCTCACTCCAGGCTAAGCACCACCTCCATGCACCAGCAAACCCACCTTTAAGACCCCTACATTTTTTTGACGTAACTTCAGCATCCCCTCTACCACCAATCTGAGTTTCAAAGCCTGAGATTCAAACTTTAGGAGAGGAGAAAAGTACCTTGCTACAGTTAACAAGTCATTTAGAGCAACATACACATTTACAATCCAGTCAACAAAATATTAATTTAAAAGTTTGAATAAAAATAAGGAGGAAAAAAATAGTAAACGATAAATGTCACTCCCCAGCTAAGAAACGCGCCACCAAATTTTGGCATACTGATATATAAAACCTTGAAAAGTTTCACTCATGTTCTGGAAAAGCTGCTAATAAAATGGAGCAAGTAGTTTCTGTAGTTACAGTGCCAGTGAATAGATCTCCTGCTTTGGATTTCAATTAACTTAGTTTGTTCAGCGAGGAGGCACTTCTGTAGAAATGGGGACTCGTAAGTTAAAGGACAGCTAAAAAAAACCACCAAACAACAGCAAAAAAAACCTGTTGGCAGCAAAAGTTCTTTCTGGCTGCAAAATAATGGATTTTTAAGAAACATTTCAAAGGATTTGAAGGTTTTGGAGAATCTCCTAGGCAGTCTCAGGTGGGTTAGGAATATTGCATTATGGACTTCTTTGTGCTAAAAGGAAGGCCTAATGCATGTTTTGAAGAAGTCCGCCTCTTGCTATTAAATAAATAATTTTCTATTAAAAAAGGTGATTGTTACTGTTCAGAGACCTACAGTGATCAGCGTCCATTTTATATAATTACTTAGGATTCTCTAGAACACTTTATGTAACTCACTTCCACTATCCCTTCTCTTTTTTCTTTTCTTTTTTCTCTTTTTTTTTGTAACCAGCAGAGTAGTAGTTTTACTCTCCAACAGAAATGACAAGAGCTCAGATGAAAAGACCATTTCAAATGGATCAGTTTAAGCAGTCTTTAGAACCCATGATAAATCTGGGCTCCAAAAACTCGACAATGCTAAATGGGCTATGAAATGCATCACAAATCTCTCCCCAGGAGAAAAAAAAAAAATCAGAGACAAGCTTCGATGTTTGAAAACATAAATAAGCAGCATAATTGCAGAATGAAAAATGGTAAATAAATAGTTACTATTTCTGGACAAAATGGCTCGATAGATTTCATAATTTGCCACCACTGTAAAAAATATCTATTCCCTTCCCCCCTCCCTTCCCCGTCAGTACACACGGAAACACAAGCATAACCATGCATAAAGTGGGAGGGTGGGGGGCAGCCAAGGATACAAACTCCCTCTTAGAAAGTTTGAATTCTTATTAACCCAGTGATGCCTCCATAATGATACATTAGATCAGCAACATAAAAGTTAGAATAGATGTCTCCTTTCTTGCTAGCAAAGGAAACTGCAAAAACACTAATAATGAAAAATAGATGTTAAAAATATCCAGGAGGAAAAAGTACATGTACAAAAACCAAAATTAACCCACTCTGCCTCCACATCAAAACAGATAAACAGCAAAACCTCTGAATAAAAATCCTGTCAAGAAGAGTGGAACCTGCTTTCTCTTTTTTTGCTTTTATTTACTGTATGCCAGGCATGGACTTTAAACTTACAGCGTGCATATATATAGAAAACAAAGAACGAGAGTCACCGTTAACCCTGGTCACCGGCATTACAGTTAAAAGTCATTGGCAAATACTAATAAAGCCCCATTTAGCAGTAAATAAGGAAAACATGATATATAGACGGACAGATGGAACTGCATAAACAGAAAAGAAAAAGCAGGGAGACCCACAAACATACGGAGAGAGCTGTTTTAAAAGAGTGAAAGATATTGATTTACTTGGAACTAGTGTTGGAAAACAAACGTATTTGTTTCCTTTATGATTAAAAAAAGTAATTAAAGTGAATCATAAGGGGGCACACCCTTAAATAAGTCGGGGTGGGGGGGGAACATTTGTAGAGGGTAAGGCCTTCTATAGATGTTCCGAATTTTAAGCTAGCAAATTGGTCTGGCAAACTTACATCTCTAAATTAAAAATCGAGGGGGGGCGGGGGGGGGGGGGAATAAAGAACTGGTGGCGGTTTAAGGAGAGCAGAGGCTTTATTCTTTTATGTTTTATAAAAGTTGACTGGCCTACCTTGTTCCCCAGTCCTCAGTTTGTCTCCTCATAGTCGCTGTCTCCCTGGAAGTACAGTGTGAGTGGTAATGACTGCCTGCCTCCCTAATGAGTCCATTTTCCTGCTCTTGATGTTGTGTATATACACACACTGCAACCTACCTTACAAACCACAGAGACGGGAAAGGGAGAGCGAGCGAGAGAGAGCGAGCGAGAGCGAGCGAGAGTGCGAGAGACAGGGAGAGCGAGAGAGGGAGAGAGAGAAAGGCGCACACAGACAAAGCCCTCCTCCCAGACAGCAGACAACCCTCCTTCCCCTATCTAGCAAAATACAACTCGGCTAATGCAGCAACAGGTTCAATACTGCCAGGCTGAGGCGGCGTAGCAAAGGTATACGGGGCTGAGCAGGATTGCTGGCAAATAAACACTTCGGTGCCGGCTGGCTCCACCTTTCTTATTTATGTTACAGGATGTTGGAATGCATTGTTTCAGACAGTCCATATGATTATCATAAATACATTTTTTGTGCATATTAGCATGGAGCGCCGGAACGTATCAGCCATTCTGCTCCGTAACCTTATAGCTCTAACACATGCAGGGAAGGTGTAAACATATCTCTTTTGACAGGCAGACTACACAAAGCCCACTGATGATTTTAAAGTCATGAGATCTTTCAAGAAAGACGCTCCTGGAGATAGGTTTCCCCAGACAATAGGGGAGCAGGGAAAATTGATCTTGATGAGGAAGAAGTCTTCCTAAGAGACTGCTCGGTAAACAATTGAAAAGAGAGGGCTATTCTCCCCAGCATTCTCTCCTTTCAAAAAATATATATTGGGAAGCTTCTGCCCCTACAGCTATAATAATGTGCTGTGCTTATGTCTGAACAGGTGCAATGCATATAGTACATGGTGTTACAAGGACAGAAATAAATCTCTCAAGTAAAAAAACATTTTCCCAGTTGCAAACAGGCCAAGGTTATTTAAAATACAGGTCTAATCTGAAGAATGTTCTCCCCACTCCCTATATATTTTTGCTGGGGGGAGGAGAGAGGACGGACAGGTGGTGGAAGGTGCGAAGGAGAAGCAAAGATAGGAGAAACAATACATGTAACCACTTACTATATTTTTATTTTTACAATATTCTGTCACATTTGAGGAGGATGTATACTGCTTCTAAAATAATTTTCACTCAGCTCTGCTTCTCATCACGCATAAAACTTACACTGTCACAAAAATTCTATTTATTTTAATGACAACTACAGACATGTCAAAATAGGAAAACCAGGAAAAAAAAAAAAACCATTTTGCACCTGTATTTCATCCTTGGAAAATGTTCTCCAAGAACTTTATGCACAGGGTATTTTTTAGATGGAGATACTAGATCCAAAAAAAAAAAAAATTAAGCGATATTACCAAGGTTATGCTGTAAATCAGTAGGAAAACAAATGAGAACTCAAATCTCCTGAAGCAAATCAGACTTTTCCTGAAGTAACTCATACCCACCTAAAAGTTAAGTATCCTGCCTAAGCCAGTTGAGTAGGCTCCCTCTATTGTCAGTGGAGAGACAGGCACCTCCCAAACGCAATCCATCCCAGCTTTCTCAGTCTCCCCACTAAAGAGGGAGCCTACACAACTAGATTAGGCTAAGCAGCTAGCTTGTAGTTGGCTAAATTAAGTAAAATGAATCTTACTTTTGATATAAAGCTCTATTACAACATCCTGCTTTCCAAACTACATTTTTATTATCACATTTATTATTAGGCAATATATGCCTAAATTGTAGTGATGGAAAAGGGAGAGCCTGCTGACTAAAAGAGACAGGTAAACTCCCTAGATTCATGGATTTGTACCCTCAGGCTGGCTGGATATTCATGATTCACAGAGTCTTTATAATATTAACCAGCCTGGTGACTGGTGAATTTGATTAGTTTTGTTCACTGGTACACATTTTTGTATTTCGCTTATAAACACTCTGGTTTTATCCAGATGTACAGTAAATACAGAAGGATTAAGTAATTTATTTCAAAAGGTTAATTTTCATTAGTTTTTTCATCAAAACAGAGCCTCTCTTACCTTAGGGTAAAATATGAAGAGTAAAAAGCTCTAATAGATGACTTAGTTCAACTCTTTCTGCAATATTTAGCTACGTACACACCTGGCATATGTTGCGGCAACTCTCCAGGTTACTCTAAATATATATTACAAAAGTTTAGTCATATTACATATTTTCTTCTCTGGACTTTATGACCATAATCACCTTATTGAAGGGTATGTAAGGTCAGGAAAGCAGAAGGGGCATTTGTAGACTTTGCTTCTAACTGTGGTAACTCGATCTGGCTGTGTAAGTACCAATTGAGCAGTCATTGCCTCAGTTTTTCCATCTGTAAAACAGACTCAACTGTAGTTCCATGACTAGATGGTACTGTAAATATGTGAAGAGTCTTCCCATCTCGGCCTGGCATCTCTCAGAGTTTTATGATGGCAAATATTATGGGGAAAAAAATAAATACTTTGTCAAGGGTACTTGTATCAAAGCCAGCTGATGAAAATCACAAGTTTTCATATCCTCATATTCAGTTCAAATAATAGGAATAGTCTCTGAAATTTAAAATTTAAAAACCAGGTCTACACCAAAATGAGGATATCAGATGTGAGAAGTTCTTAGCAGCCTGGAATATCTGACCCCAACTAACATTAATTCCTTTGTCCTACCAATCTTACACATACTACTCTGAAGAGATATTTAAAATGTACCAACTTTGCATAAAAAAACCAGACTTGAACCCTTCAAATTTAAGACATTCAGATTGAAATCTGTGTACTGAGTCAGAAACACTAAAGTTTGAAAAATGTTCAGACTTGCAATTGATCCAGATTCAAAACATGTAAGTTGGAAGGCACCTAGATCCTTAACTTTTCTGTTAACTTTCTAGAGATGTCATATATGCACCTGAGACAGGGTAACAGGCCAAATTTCCTCATGTTTTGAGAAAGTCTGAATCTCAGTAAGAACACTAGAACTGAGCCCAGTTCTATGCACTTAGAACAAAGCTTAGGGCCAGACCCAAACTGGAACCCAAAGCCACCCCTTCCAAAGTTGCATGGGGTTTGTGTACTCACAGAACTATAGAACTAAACCAAACACTTTCAAACCTCAGGACTGTTGGAAAGCAAATATGGAGTAGATTCCAACTTAAGCTAGTTTTGGCCTTTAATCAGAAATTAATCAAATTAACCATAATCTTAATAAAATCCAAATATATGTTTGACCTGAATGAAAAAACCCACAAGATGTGATTTGCACAACTGGTTCCTTGCCTGAAAGTCTTTCTTAGACTTAGATCCTAACCATCAATGACTCGATTCTGGGTTGTCTTGTTAATAATTTAGTCCATCTAAACAATTTTTTTAAAAATCCTGAGTGGTGTGGTTTGAATGGAGAATCCTGATTTAATGTTTTGCCAACAAAAAAACTGCCCATTTGCTTGATTCAAAATGCTCAATGAAAGCTTGCTCACCAGCACACCACACTCCTGTGGGCCTGCAGTTCCTCCTCTCCATTACATGAGGAGGTCAATGGCTATGCACTCGGATCATTTGCAAGAAGCAGAAGGAGAAGGTGTGGCTGCTGGCAGCTTTCAGCTCTGTCACAGGACTGGACACAGACCTGCTGGGTGACAGTGAGGGCCTGCATGGCAGTCACACAGCCTGGTCATGCAGCACAGGCAAGCAAGCCTTGTCATGTGCCAGCATCGTACATCTCCCACGGCACAAACCCCAAATTTTGGTTAGGTCACACATGGTATCACCCTATGAGAAAGAGGCTGGAACAGAGGGCTCCCGGCTGGCTTAGTAAAACTCTGCATTATCCATCCTGAATGCAAGAACAAGCAATGCTGGTCTACCCAGTAGATGATACTCCTGCCTTTCTTTTCCTGCAAACTTGCATTCACAGTTCAGAATTAGTTTCTAGCAACTGTCATTAGGGAGGCAAAAGAGCCCTAACCCCTCTAGCAAAGCCTCCAAAGGAATGAAAAAACAAATTACTAGCACCATAAAGGCAGGTAAAAGATTGGCGTGTTTGGTGCAGCTGGAGCACCCATCTCCAGTTCTGCCAGAGAGCTGCAGAGCCCCGATTTTCAGGAGTAAGGGGAAGAAAGGGAAAACCAGAGTGCCCACCAGAACTGTGAAATACTTTGTTGCAAATGACAAGATTCTGGATGACGGACTGAGAGGGAAGGAAGGTACTTCAGTGCCAAATAACATATTCTAGACTGCTCTAGTCTCTCCTCTCCACTTTATGTCTCCAGGCACACCAACATGCTAAGTTTAGACACATCTTGTTGGCAGCCAAAACTGGAAAAGGAGTCACAGCATCATGTAAACATGTCTGAGGATAGGAGCTACTTCCTTAAGGAAAAAAAAAAAAAAATTAAAAAAAATAGCCTCTTAGCAGATACCTAAGGGTTGATTTTCAAATGCTGAAGAAATTTAAGTAAGACTGACTCCATGAACTGGTTGGGTACCTTGTCTATCTCTCTGACGGACAAAAACACTGATTTTTATGTATTTCACATATTTGCCCGACAACATTTCCATTAAAACCTTCAGGGAGCTCTGCATTACCAGAATCCCAGGAACTGCTCCTAGAAACCAGGCTGGTTTAACACCATACTACTGTGAAAAATCCCAGGCAAGCTTCCATGACAGTTTTGTTTCAGGTGGTACAGGCAGGACCTAGAAACAGTCACAGCAACATGTCTGAACTTGATTGCTTCCACTCTTGTCCTCTTAACCACATCCACAGGTCTCTGAGACTCCCCTGGTGTATCACACCGTCTTGTTGCCAGCCCAACAGGATTGGTGATTCACATGTCTCTACTGGTGTCCTGCAGTGTCCCTGCAACTTTGTGCAAATGTAATGAGAGAGATGCCAATTAAAAAAGCTCAAGAGTCCTGCAGTGTGGCAGGCTGATTCAAATTAGATACCTGTATGAAATGATTAAAAATAGGGTTTTGAAACCTGAAGATAACAGGAGGACAGTATGTTTGATTTACATCAGCAGGGGCCAACGAAAAACGTAGAAGGACCACACAAAGCTCTTTATTCCTGCAGATTTGCTTGTGATGATGCTGAGGACAGAAAAGGGGAAATACAGTGCACTTCTGGTGCCTTTCAACATGCAAAGAATCTCAATTGTTCTCCCTCTCAGCAGTCACTACTTAGTGCCAGACCTCCAAATAAGTAATATTTTCCTTTAATAGAGCGACTTTGGTCCATCATACCATATTTCAGGTGCATGTAATCATAAACAAATCAAAACTCACAACTTCTTTTGGCAACAAAACTACTGTCATTCTCATTTTAG